TGGAGGAGTACAGATGTAGATGTGAGTGGGTGGGTGGGTGCGATGTTAGAGGTGGAGCATCAGTTGGGTACCTAGGTAGGTAGGTAGTAGGTAAAGTAGGGTAGGAAAGAAGGGAAAATGTATCAGGTTTCGGCTTTGGTTTTGAGTTTGGATTCTTCCTTGGTCCTTGACTGTATCGCCCGTTTATAGATTAGAGAGATGGTTCGTGCCCTCGGTTTTTGGGATTGACAGCTTGCTTGATAGTGAACATGGTATGTGATGACGGGTGGATGAGATGAAGATTAATAAGATGGAAGATGTATACGTATGATATATCGTTGATGAACGAATTATTTATAAAATTAAAGTAACCTTAACCACCTCAGTACCTAGTGAATGATTGTTGGAGGGTTGCTGGTATTGTATGATATATACCGAGTATTATTGTCTTCAATTGAGTACCTACTACTACATGTGTATGACTACTCCATAGGTAGGTAGGTAATGAATTGAGTTTGAACTAATGAAATAGAACTGGGCTAGAATCAGCATTGTTATTTACTGCATTCATTACAAGGTGTTGATTTATTCGCATTTAGAAATACCTACCAAGATCTTACCTACCTACATGATGAAAGAATCTTGGTAGTATCCCTATGCTGTAATCGGATTACAAGACTTATAAAGACGTTGAAAGAGTGACCTATCTAATATCACTGATGTAAGTCGTATTATATAAGTACCTACCTAGTACCTAAATACATTAATACATAATCATCAGCATGAACTCTCCCACCAATGATTTTGTTCGGAATTGTCCATTTAGATTTTGCTTCATACCTTCACTTCATACCTTGATTCCTTTGAGCTCATTTTTCTTAATTGTCATAGCTGTCTACTCAGTCGACCAATCCCTTACAATAGCTTCCAAGTTGTCAACGAGTGTTTTGCTCACTACTCCTACCTCCTACTTAGTACTCCGTACATCGGTAACATACCCACCTATCTATTGGTATCTACTCGTTCTCCTTCTCGACCCATACACAAGCAAACCTCCTAATCCATTCATGAGATGTGTTTAATTCCATTCGTGCCTTGAAAATGATCTACTAACTTCTTGTGTGTGCATACTACTAAAGTTACTAGATAGGTACATGAGTTGCGCATCGTCATTCCTCTGATATCTTCTCTGATATCTTCTCTGGTATCTTGACATGACATCTATCCTCCACGTAAAATGTAAAGATAAGCATAAATGATTATCTACCGTGAATGATGAAATTTATTCTATCTGTTGCATATTCTGGGTCTTTGTGATTCTCTCTTCCTTTCATTGAAAAGGATGCTACTACTATCTTACCACAATACCCAGGGACCCTGTACATAATGGCAACCCCTCCCTTGGAAAGTTTATTAGAGCTTTGAACTTCTTTCATACCTACTGGTTTCCCTGCCTAGTGCGGATAGTAGCGAGGAGTCCTTTTTGTCTGACGGCTTGTCCCTTGCCCTCTCTTTGAACCCTCATTTTTATAAGTTAGACTACGGAGTACTTTACTGGATATACCGATGCAAAGGTAGCTTTGTGATATGCGAACTTCACTTCCTATCGTCCTGAGGAATAACTGAAGAGGAAATCCAAATCAAGGAAGAGAGGAAAAAAGGAAGAAAAGAAAAGGAGAAAAACGAAGGAAAGGAAGTGATGGAGGATTGAACTCTTGAGACTCAATTAATCTCATTTATTTTATATGATGCTTCAAAGCTCTTTTTGCTCTGTGTAATATCTACTGACCTGGATATTTTATAATAATAATAAATAATATGACAATAACATGACAATAATAATCATGTTCCTTTTGTTCGCTCTCGATCCAGTTATAAAGATCCGATCTATCAGATCTTATATTGAAATAATCATCTATATATCAAAAAAATCCGACAATCAACCATTTATATTTAGAAACAACCCTCAATTCCTATCAATCCTTGCTCACCTATATATACCCTGGCAATCGATGCACAGCATTGACACCACACTACCGGCTAACAGCAGAGCTCCTTCCTGGCTGCACCTGCAGCTTCCAAACTTGTTCAAAAGTGTCACCGCCTTGGGCAGAAATAAATATCATGTGATTATCAAGATTCAATAATTCACTTCCAAATTAATTTAACATATTAGCTATTTTTATTCCAGAACAATCTTTATACAGCTTCAACTCTTGTGTTTTTTCTTGTACACTATCATCAAAAACGTTCCTTTTCATAATCCTGATATTCTTGACACTCTTTATGCGACTGCGAAAGAAACAATGGCCGCCAATCAATCTTCTAATGGAGAAGACGAAACCTTGGGAGCAAACTACAATTTCATACCAGTGCCTTCAGTTTACGAGCACGATATCAGATTCGACAATCGTAATGCCGAAGAACTGCATCATGGGATACTTGAAGCTGCGCGAGTGGAACATGAAAGGGTTCGGAATGAAGCTGTGCGAATCTTCCAAATCACTCTTCTACAAGAACAACAACTTCGGGCACAGCAAGAAGTTCAAGCGGAACAAAAAAGGTTACAAATTGAAGAGATGCGCTTAAAAATTGAGGAAAATCGCGTCCAGACGGAAAGGCAAAATGCATTGGCAGAGATCAAGAGGAGGGAATTGGAAGAAGAAGCAAAAAGGATACCCGTTGTCCCTCCAAAGCCTCCTACCCCTCCGCCAGTTGCACCACCTAAAGTTCCTGTACAAATGAATTCGAATCCACCGCAGAATCAATTCCAGAATCCCCAACAACAACAACAACAGCAGGGGAATACCAGTTGGGGGTTATTTGGCGCGCCAAGTCAACGAACGGATGGATCTGGACAAAGCAAACCTCAGCAAGCCAGTCCCTTATCGCGACCTCAACTACAGCAGCAAACAAATGGGTTTTCAGATGTTCAACAAGAGCCCCCAAAGCAATCATCGGCACCACCTCCACCTCAACAACCTACATCTACCAGGCAAGCTTCAGCTTCCTCAAAAGATCATCTACTACCTGGCTTGGAACGTTATGTGGAAATACACAAGAATCTCAAACAATTACGGCAGTACTTGGTAGCAGAAGGAAAACAAAATTTACCATTCAAGAAAATGCTGGGAGATTATCGAAGATCGATTCGGCAAACGGTTGGACAGTTGACTGGTGAAAGAGGTGCGAATAAGGAGTGTGTAAGTTGAGCTCAGGATCATCAAGTGGATATACATTAATATCTCGCAGATTAATAAAATCGTCGATTTACTCACTCAATCCCTTCGCAGAGTTCAATCCCCAGGGATTGACCCCAGCAATTATATGATCTCGAAACCAAATCCGGTGCAAGGGGCTCAGAATAATGGAGATCAACTTCCGTCTCTCTTCATTTACCTCCTTAACTTTTTCTCCAAAGCCATTGTTTCCCAATTTACAACTGAAGCGGGGGTCCGACCAGAAACTGCAGACCCTGTTGGTGTCATTGCCGTGTCAATTTTTGCCAAAACGGAATTCTTATGGAGGGGTGCTTCATTAATCGATATCCTAATAGCAAAGATGCGAATCTCAATACCTATCATCTTTGGAGTTCGTGGAAATGAGAAAACAGAAGAAGGAAGAGCCCGAGTAGGATGGCAAAGGCTAGAGGACGGAAGTTGGATCGATGAACAAATTCATAACAACAGGATGGTTGGGCTAGCGGCGGGCTATGCAGCAATTTCTTTGCGAGACTTTTCCAAAGCGAAAGTCACGAATCCTTGGCCACCAACGAATTATTGGAGGTCTATGGCTAGTATCGTGTCTACACCAACGGAACAAGCTTCACCATCACAATATACGGTTCTACGATCCATGATTGAGGGTTGGGAACAGAGATTTATCGAACTGTATGGAGTTCAAGCAGTTGCTGCCCTAAGAGTTGCCTTGATAGATTTCCCAGCTCGCGCTCCCCCTGCAGCAAAAGTGGCTGCTGACTCGTTGAGTGTTTTAGTTGACAAATTGGAGAGGGACAAGGGGCTAAGGCTTGCCTATTGAGCAATGGAAGTACTTGTATAGTACGTTAATTAAAATAGGGGGAACGGTTTGGATATGTTTAAATAGGGGCTAACTAGCAATTGTACTGATATTTTACATGCATCAGAGAGGCGTTAAGGGAATGAAGTAGAGAGAACTTTGTATGTCAACGTTGAAGAGAGATGGAGATGGACATGAAGCTATTCTTATGTAGCGAATTATATACCCACATACGTAATAATTTATCCCAAGAGTCTTTTGTACGTTCACGACTTGTGATGTTGCATTGCTTGGTAGAATTTCCCGCGTCCACCTCGCAGAACTGAAGTAGGGAAGATCATGTAGATGAGCTAGTAGGAGCTCTTGGCCTAGGGTTTGTATATCTTGACATGAAAATCTTATATTGCAAATTTCTCAGAACTCCTTTTTCTATTTTAAACTCTCGTCTTGATTTCAAATCCATCGTATACTCCAATCACCACTCTATATCTATAACCCTCCTCTTTTCTTGTGTGATTATATCAGTAATCTTATCCATATTGTGCGAGCTTGGGGTTTCTTGTTTCCTTTCCTTTCCTCTTCGCCTTTCTATACCTTCGATTCATCCACAAGATAGAGCCCTCGTGTTTATCTTCGTCATTTATCTCCCTTCCATGTGTGAGTATCCGTCTACTTTCAGCTCTTCCCCCTTTCCTACCGGTCTTTCTTTCTGCATATTTCGCACTCTCTACCCTCCTCTACTCCCTCCTTGACACTCACTCCTTCCACCTCTCTCTTTCCACATATCCGCACTTCCATCCCCGTTTTACTCCTCCGGACATCCAAAAACATCCTCCCTCCCAGAGAACGCCTTATCATCTGCCAGATAAACCTTATTATAATCCATATCTACAAATCTTCATCTCCTCTGTTTGACACATCTTTTAGTTTCCAGTGGCTGTTTCTTTACTTTTTTGGCTGAATAATATGAGTTTATTGACAGAACAGGGTTAAAAGAAGGTAGGAGAAGAAGGGAGGGTGAATGGTGGCTGTGGTGGGTGGTGGATGACGGGTGATGGATGATTGGGGGCAATGAACAGCGGGGGTTGACAATGAAAGAGACTGGAGGGGAGAGGAGGGAAGACGAGATAATACATACTTCAGTTCGTATCAGAATCACAATAACATGTGCCAATCTACAAACAATGTTATCACCTCATGTTTCATTGAAGGAATCGAAAGGTTCAGTAAGAAGTTTTGTGATGCATTCAAGATCATTATGTTTTGGATTACCTATAGCATGTTTCTTCATTCCTCTCCTCTTCCTTCCTTTCCTTTGCTTTCCAACTTCTTCAAAATTCCCCCTTACTATTCCCCATTTCTGTCAATCTTCCGTCCATCAAATCAAGCAGCACAAATTACGTGTTAGGAAAAGAAACAAAAGCAGAAAAAATGCAGGCTTAATAAAAGAAAATGAAAAATAACACCCCTTCCATAAACCTAATTTCTCCTGTACAACTTGCCTGTATCTACGGACAAATGCTGATAAATCGTCAAAAATACCAATGTCTATCTTATATCTACACTCGTATATTTCGCAAACCAGATGGAGAGATTAGGAATTTGTGCATCATAATAAAGAACAGAGCCTGTGTCATAAATCCTCTACAACGCAATTTCTTTCATTTTGTTACGTATGGTCGATAAGTCTCAGAGCCTGGGTGAACGACCGTGTTATTGAGGTAGACCATGGAGCTGGCTATTCTAGGACAGCCGGAGGTGAGGAAAAGGAGCTTGTTGGAGGTGAAAGCATTGTAGTTGGGACTCATAATTTTAAGTTAAGGGGTTCGTTCGTGTGGGACGTGGTGATGGGAATAGGGGACTGGGAACTGGGACCTGGTTCTAGGAATAGGAATAGATAGAGCGAGAAATACCTACGTAGAATACCGATTCCTGTTTGACCCGGGATTGGAGGAAGAGCGAAGAAACACTCGGTAGTGTCATCGAAGACGGTGAAATTTCCGAGTGGTGAGCTGCAGCTGGTGGCTGTAAAGGGGACGTTAGTGCTAGTGTATGCCTTCTTCTGGTCCAGACTGCAGTCTGAATTCCTGAGCTTTGAAACTGAGGAGAATCTTTGAGCACCCGTTGACTTTCTAATTGATTCGATCTTCCAAGCAAGCTCAACATTTATCAAGTTCAAGATCAGAGAGTCCGATGGAAAGGCCGAAAAGGACTGCAGTTTCGACACCAGAAAACTATGGTTTGAAGAAGAAAAAGAGCTGAACTTACCATTCACACTAAACCCGAGAAAGTTTCCCAGGACCCATGAGCAAGAATGGGAAGGATATTGGGGTAGATCGTTGTGGTATATATTTTACTTATGCTGAGTTATAGGCTCCTGTCAGTGATAAAAAATGATTTAATCCAACCACATATGGGTGACTAGAATCGAACGAGACGACGACAAAATATGAGTTCGTGATACCGCCTCTGACTTCACTACCTGGCAAGGGATAGCACCAATATGTGACGGAAAAGACGAGATGGGGATATTGAAGGCCGACAACATTCCGACAAAAAAAGACTCAAACTCAGGTGAACTGAGTGAGCATAGTGAGCACCTTCACCCTCGATCAAAAGTTCCATAGGCTGAGATGTGGCAAGTCTCATCAACTATTGGCCATGGAGATACTGCAGCTAAAGAGTAGGTAACTGTGTCATATATCCGAAAGGGCATATACATAATTTGACGTGGACGCAGAAATGGGAGCTTCAAAATGATAGATTTTATTTCTGACTGAGCCTTAGAGCTTGGGGGCTATGGGAATCGTTTCGAATTGAGTTCAGAAGGTGAAACAATGCAGTGGTGGCAGAATTTTTACGACAGGAAGTGCTTCAATGCTAGTCTAATAGTCCCCATCCAACTCTCGAATCCCAATCTATAAAACCATCTCCGATTGAAAACATTCCAATACTTTTGGACGTTCCTAGTCACGCTCATTTACATTAAAAAAACGAAGCATCGACATTGAATATAGGAATGGCTGCTCATACTCATACCATCAATTCAGATGTTGGCGCACCTCAAGGCTTAAAACTTTCTTACGTTCAACCAACCTTACAGACCGCCATTGCTCTTCTAAAGCCGTCGAAACACCTTTTCAGGATGATGAACTGATCCCACTAAGACTAGAGGTTTCTCAAAAGATTTTGGATGGGTCAGACAAATTTCCTAACTTTCCAGGCGATCACCATTTTGATTTTGGGGAGTACGTCACCGCTCGTCAAGATGGTACGATATGATGAGCGGTCACTAAAAATCATCAGTGAAGTGTCTCCCCATATTGGGGAGTAAAGAAAAGGCAAACACTAGGCCACTCCGAAGACTTCCGGGGTATTAACAACGGAATGTCCGGATAATAACTGAATGGCGGAGAAATCTCACATACTCACGGAATATCTGTATCACCAAACTTTCGGAATCTCGAGAATAAATGAGCGCGTACTTGATTCAGTGGTGGAAGACGATTGAGGTCGACCGAGAACTGGCGGTCATCATAGCCAAATTTTGGATAGCTCACGTTTTTGTCTCAGTTTTCACGGGTGGTACGAACTCAATGACGAGGACTGCAAGTTCGAGAGTCTTTGTTGCAGTCGATGGCTACCATAAAATTAATGAACTTCCAGAAAATATTCCTTCATTCCGTGAAGATATTTGGTGGTTTTAGCATATCCCGTGCTTGAAATTGATGTATCCTTGAGTTCGGAACCCTCTGTCCTGCATCTGATTGTAATTTACCTTCGTTCAGAGCATTTGCAATTGGAAATAATTTGCACCCTGGCTCCTGAAAAGTGCTTGTAACTCCCATCCGTGCATTCCGTGGCATAGAAGGGTCGTGGCGACAAGAAGTAGAATAATGATTGTCGAGCAATTGAGAAGCCGAATTGAAAAGCATGTTGACGGTGAAGCCGCACCTGAGGTTTGTAAAGAACGAGAGAGAGATCAGTTAGGTTGGCTGATATCCAACCAACTGATATTTCGACAAATTTTCGGCCGAATAATCACATGACCATGATTCGTGTTTGTAGCTCAATACATTATGCATTGTGGCAAGACGGAAAGATGCAAGGGTGGAATGAAATGTTGGTAAAAATATGTATCCCGCGTCAACTACCGAGCGTCATGGAATTCTCAGATGTCGTCAACTATAAACCCCGTTAACTCCAGTGTAAAGACGTTCTGTATTCTCGGCGTTAATGCATACCAAAGATTCATTACAACTGGAGTACGGACTCTTATCATTTTTCTGATGCACAGTTTTCAGGGGTCGGAAACAACGAAGTTTAGCGGATCGGACTTACTTTTCCTTACTTTTCCTTTGAAATTTTACATCATCGGCCGAAAAGTTTCCCCACAAAAAGATGAACGAACTAAGGTGACAGAACAAAACACATCGACTTGATATCCAAAGGCATAGAGCGGCTTGTTAGGCTTGCCATTACGATTCCACTTGAACGTTGTACGTTGTCCGGGTCTTCCACAGTCAACAGAGCAGTGGGTACGATTATAAATCCGATGAAGCTTGTCCGAGAGAGGAAATCTTGGACAACTTCGCTTCTCATCTAGCGACGCTTTTCTATCTTGTTCGATGATGAGTATAGTTGCGGGAAGTGTTCAAGCTAGCTCAAGGCTATTCGTAGATCTTGTCCACCCGATTCTATCATTTTCTAAATTCAAATCTTGATCGTATAACCTATGTCCTACATCCTTGACCGATGTTGATGGCTCAAGCGCAAAGTCTAAAACTGTGAACACGTCCGAAGAAAGATCCAATTAATTCTTATCTACCCCCCTATCATGTCTCCACCTATTTCGTATGGGGTCGAGACAATGACATGTTCAACTGGAAGGAGCAACTATAAAGTCCTCGAGTTGAACCATCTTTTCCAACACTTCTCTATCACACCATAACTAAATACACTTTTCACATATCACAACTTAACAAACAAACAAACTATCAATCAAACAAACATACCACAAAATGTCTACAGATTACAAGTTCCAAGGATGGTTGGGTCTCGACGCCGAATCCGCCAATGGCAAGATGGTTTGGCAAGAGTATGAACCTAAGCCATTCGAAGAGACAGATGTTGATATTCAGATCACTCACTGTGGTATCTGTGGTTCAGATATACACACTTTGAGATCTGGATGGGGCGCAACAAATTACCCAGTCTGTGTTGGTCACGAAATCGTTGGAAAGGCTATTAGAGTCGGTTCTAAAGTTGAGGGCATTAAAGTTGGAGATCGCGTTGGTGTTGGTGCTCAAAGTGGTTCTTGTATGAACCAGAAGGGCGATTGTGAAGCTTGTGCTGACAAGTAGGTCTACTTCTTTTCAGAATGGTGAGATAAAACTAACGTACCTAGTCAACAAAATTACTGCCCTCACGGCACCGGTACTTACGACAGCAAGTGGCCGAATGGAAGCAAATCATACGGAGGTTATGCTGATTACTGGCGCGGAAGGGGTGATATGGTCTTAAAGATCCCAGATGCAATCTCATCCGATGTTGCAGCCCCCATGCTTTGTGGTGGTATCACTGCTTTTTCACCACTCAAACGAAATGGGGCTGGGCCCGGAAAGAGTGTCGCCATCGTTGGAATTGGTGGTTTAGGACATTTCGGTATTATGGGCGCAAAAGCTTTGGGTTGCGATGAAATCACAGCTATTTCTAGAACTTCCGCGAAGAAGGAAGATGCATTCAAAATGGGCGCTACTAGATTCATTGGTGAGTTTGGATTGTTTTCCTCAACACTAAATGAGAATACTAACGAATAAACGTATAGCCACCGATGAAGAACCAGATTGGGCCACAAAATACGCAAATTCCTTAGATCTCATCGTCAGCACTGTTTCCTCGCCAAAACTTCCACTTCAAGGTTACCTCAGTCTTCTCAGATACCAAGGTAAATTCATTCAAGTCGGTGCGCCTGAAGATACCATTCCTGGATTCAACAGTAAGTCATAACATCTTCCCACCCTAGGCATTGTATTGACATAAATCAGTGTTCTCGCTCATTCTCAAGAACCTTACCATTGGTGCCTCGCTCATTGGTCCCCCGCATGAGATTAAGGACATGTTAGCACTTTTCGCCGAAAAGGGCGTCAAGACTTGGGTCAACAATGTTCCAATGAAGGATGCCAACAAAGCTATTGTTGATATGGAGGATGGCAAGGCGAGATACAGATATGTTTTGGTCAACGAGAAGCACATTGATGCTTAGGTTTTGTAACTCTATCTTTGGAAAGTTTGTAGCGTTGAAATTGAAATGTATTATAGATCTCTAATTGATGACTAGACTTGCATGCTCATACTTCTCACCCGTTGTTGCGAAATGCATATCAGCCCTGAAGAATAGGATTGGGAGCAAGGTTTTCAAGGTCCGCAGTCACTGTTTTCGATCCTTGGATTTCTTGGTGGGTGTTACGACCAATCCTAACAGCCACTCAGGTGACTAAGCTTATGGTCACATGACCCAATATTGTCCCACCTAGAATCACTCAACTACAGGCAGTGGGACATAATGGGAGGCGATGGGATGTATAGTACGAAGGTCTATATAATTGGAAAGAGTTTCCTTATTGTAGAGCTTTGTGCTCAAGATCAATCATTTAGTATACTCTACTATTAGTTACGAATTGCATCATTGTCATTACTTAAGTCCCTGCTTGACGCCTAGTTATAAACCACCTCGAGAGCCTAGAGCACTTCCACGTGATCTAGACGGCAAACCTCGTAACAGTGGGTTGAAACAATTTGGGATATTTCAATTCATTGGGATATTCAAACTTTTTTTCAAATATTCAAGACTTCCACATTGATCCCTTTTATATGGATTACCGATCAAGCTTTTTGAGAAGAGGTTGCATTCAAAACGATACCTAATAAGCATTATGGTATCCATGGTAGCTTATGAATGCACCAAGCCTTGAGCGCGCCGAGCCTTGAACGATAGAGATTTTTACTGCGGGGTTTGATGATGTCAACATTCACTTATCATTCACTTGAAACAATAGTCACTCGGAACATAGCCAGTATCTATGCGAGATCATCACTTTCGCCGTTTCCTTCCCACTTACGTTTCTTCTCCCACATTTTCCCACTTTCAATCTTTCAATCATCTATCTATTTCCAGACAACAACGACAACAATTACAGCAGAAGTAGAAACCCGGAAAGATTCGCAAAATTGCGAGACCTTGCGATCAATTCTTGATGTATCCATCCATAATCAAGTCTTGAAAGATTGGCAAAGGCACATCTCGTAAATTAGCTTTGGCAATTTATCAGCATGGCGATTACAAAAGCTTGAGTCAAGCAGTTGATAAAACTGCTGGAGTATTCAGTCGCCGGTCATCAGCGATCAGCTCCTTCATACCCTTCAGCATTACAACACCACCATCTACAACATCAGCCTTATGCAAACCCAACTTATCGACAGATGCCAATTGCGGATCACCGATGGGGTTAGACTGCCCAGACTGGCACTGGGAACCAAATGATTGGAAACGGTCTGGCCGTAACAGCTGATCCACTTTGTTCTAACATGAGAGAGTGTCAGTATGGCTGGAGAACGGAAGAAGGTTTCAACATTGTAAGAAAAATCACTCTTTTTACTTTCACTTTAACAATCACTAATTTTGCAATATTATAGCCGTTTTTGGGTGTCATCTTCCGCCACCCAGCAGTCTATTATCTCACTGTGGGTCCTGGCGTTCCACCAAAGCACATCTGCGGCTTGCAGCAGGCTAATCAAACGGCCTACCACCGTTTTAACTTCACCATCTCCAGAAGATTTGAAGAGATTAGTCTGATTCTACCGGCTTTCTCTTTTTCTGGATCACCACTAAGCACACGGTATCACGAGACCTTGCAGCTAGGAAAACTTACATCTGTGCTGATCTGCTTGCACTTCAACGTTTCATGACTGGGTATAAGAATGAGCTCGTGGAACGAACTAGAAAACGCACTATTGATGTTGCTTTCGGTGACTTCCTAACTTATTTCCCGGCATTTTCACATGCACATACTTTTGCCTGGCCAATTCCTCGGGGACCTGCCGCTGCACCCACTCCTCCAGTTGTGCTTGTAACAGCTGTACCACCTCCCAACGCCTAGGCAATGCGCGCTGCATCTGCGATATCTAATGTTGCTGTGGTATCTGATGCGAGTCAGCATCACAATGAATCATCATACTCTAATGTATTATTTTCTGATCAGGATAAAGCTTCAGCTCAGGGTACTCAAACTACTCTACCCACCCAACCACTCCAAGCTACATCTCCACCGCCTCAAAAACCAAGGAGCGCACTGGTCGTGCAAAAATTACCTTCCTCTATAGGAAATCAGGACTAGTCATCCCGCACACCAATTAGGGAATCACGCGCCAACAAAGCCGATGTGGCTATCACACCGGCGAGCTCTTCCCAAGCTTTAATCTCTAATGAACCTGGCCCCTTGTGCTAGACAATCAGGTAGTTACTCTGTAATCTCCATTCTGTTTCCTATAAAACTAATATATCCTTCAGATCCGGCGTCTGATTCAAGATAGATACCCATTCCAGCACACAAACGCTGGCTTTCTTACAGCTATTTACGGTAGACATATGTGGTATCAGACGCGATGGCTCCACGCCACCAAGCATACCTGTAGGTTCTATTTACATTCTCTGCAAAAAATCGCAACGACTAATGTAAGTATCTCAGGTACGAGATCTTCTGATTGAAATGCACGGAGATGGGCGCTATAATAGAGATGAGTTCACAGAGGTGTGGAACGCGATTTTGGAATTGTTTTTCTCGAGTAGTAGGCAAGTCATGGTAGTGAGATGAATGCTTCGGCATAATGAGATGGAGGCTTGGTAGCCCTTATGAATGGAATTGAATGAAATAATGTGAGATAGCTTTATAGGAATTTATGCCACTATCTACCCTCACCTGTGTGAACCTGATTTTATATCTCTGCCGAACTTCGTAAACTGCTTGCTTTTGTATGCCTAAACTTGCAGCGGCTTTTGATGAATGCGAAATCTTCAGATGTTTTTTCTGAATTAATACTCTAAAAAATGTGCTTGTTTACAAGATCCATGTGCTATCCATCAAGAGTTTGATTTCTTAGGTTGGTCTCCTTAGATCTACTACCCATCAGTTGAAGCCATGGCACGAGAATAATCTCGTCTTGCAGTAATTCATCTGATGGGATGAAATGCACCCATAAGGATTTTCTAATTCACATTTCTAGAATTCACTTTATCAATTCCTGTCCTACACTCTCGACAATATTCACCAAAATTCCTCTATCTCTGCAGACAAGCGCCGAAAACAATCACAAAAACCACCAAAACGTACGAAAGAGGAACCCCAAATTTCAAAACACAACTTTCAACATATCAGATCGATTGGATAAGTTGTTTCCAGGTCACGAAATATGAACCATGAATCTTCATACACGCGTAGGACTAAGCATGAATTCGAATCTGAAGATACGAAACCAAAATCTCAGAATGAGAATGATATTCCGCCTCATATACCATTTGCACACTTATCTTCTGGTAACTTATTCGGATACCATGGTACCCCAAAACATGGGTATTTTGCACCTCAACACTTAACGTCCTCTTTACATAGATGGAAGGATGTGGATGGTGTCAGCATCCCATTTTTCTCTGTACTTATCCGCCACGTTCGCTCTTGGCTTATAATTTCCGGCGGAAGAGCTATGCCATCAATTGTTAATCTACAAAAGGAGCATCCCGAGTTTTCTAATCGATATGCCATAACTATTACTGGACCTACACAAATCTTAGGGGAGAAC